CCGTACAGTTTTACCGAATAACCTAACGCGTATAAATCGTGGCAATGATAAATGCGTGGCAATGATAAATTTCAGTATGCAAATTCGCGGGTGGTGGCCACCCACGCGACAATCGCATATCAACGAAGAGGAAACGGCGGAAGATAAATAGAACGCGACAAAACACGTTACCTCTTTCTATCACGATCTCGTTATCATATTGATGCGCCGGGCGTAATCCGCCGCCGTTAGCTTCCCCACGAAAACGTCGTCGCATTCCATAAAGTCGATCTACTCCCGCGGCAATTTGAAGAAAACATTTCAAATTAACTAAGCGCATCGCGAAATCTCCCTGTCGAAATCGACCCTGGAGAAATCTACGCGACGGAAATTCTTGAACGGAAAATTTCTCTCGAGTTTACGATCTTCGATATTGTGATAGTAAAATATAGATATAACAGACAGGATATTCTATCTCCGCGAATAATAAACACGGTCAAAAATAAATGTTGCGCTATCCTCTTTCTCATTACTCCCGTAAACTCATTACTCTGATAAGGTCAAATAATGTTCTGTATACTGTCGCACTGTTGAAATTAAAAGTCGGGTGTTTCGAATATACATCTCGTACAATGTAAAAGATGATTATAAAAGAAATAATATTTGTTCGCGCGTGCCTCGAAATAAAATTCAACGAGCGATAAAGTTGTCCGTGTCGAATCCGGAATAGTCATCCTGCTTGAAGGAAAACGTGAATAAATGGCTCGACAGAGTGCGAAGAATTTTAATGGACAACGTGAAAACGCACCTCGACACGCACCTCCGAGCAGACTTGTATCGCGCGTAGTCAAAGTAACGATGTAACTTTCGATTGGATCCTCAATTAATGACGAGCACGCGTCGTCGTCGGCGCGTGTCCGCAAGCATTGTTACCAGTTAGCAATTAATTACTCCGTTCCAGCGAAGGGGAATGCCGCCATGGCGGGCACTCTGTTAACGACAATAATTAATCTGACCATCGATCCGCACGATTGTTAATTGACGAACTCAACTTTTGCCAGTATTTTCGTATATTGTCACGCGACGCGCGCGTTGCCCGTTTGCTTTTTCTATATTTAATGTGCGATGGAATCTCTGTAGAAACGCACGAAACGCTCGACATATCGACAGTACTGCGATGAGAGGAACATTCAAGCATAAATACTCTCTTCACCGTTTGATGATTGTTGAATTTTTATTCGACTTCCTCGGCTGTCGTGAAGTTCTCCGTATCGTTATTCGTGCATTGAGAAAAATGTCTGCTTGAAGATGGATCAGAAGATTTTTATTATATCAATCGGAACTTCGATTATCTCAACTAAAATTTTAGTAGATTTTAGTAGAAGCGGAAAATTCGGATTTGGCCATTTTCCACCAGAATTCCAATTAATCCAATCAAACATTTTTCTTGATGTATGATTCTATTTATCGAGCCTTTTTTTCCTTGCAGTCACGCACCGTAGTCTGGAAAATTCTGGAATAAAATCGTAGTTGATTTTTTCTCAAGAAAAAAATATGATGGTTAAGCGTGATCAGGTTCAACATGAAACGTTTGAAAGTTTTGAACAAATTGAACTTCTAGAGCGGAAATGCGTGAATTTTATTTCAGCAGTTAATTAAAAAATGCCAAACTCGTGAAGGGAATTTATTAAAAAGTTTCATCAATTATATCGAAATTCTGGAATATACTACTATAGCTACTCGTTAATTAGGGCGTTACGCATAAATGATTAAAAAAGGTGACATAAAGAAGATGGCGCGCGCGCAAAGCACTTGTAGCATTAATGCAATCGTGTCGGTTTAATTATCAAGCTCGATCACTGTGACGGAGTTGACTCAGGCAGAGGCGACGGCACATCGGGAGTTTTTAAATTTGATTCCTACATCAAGCAACTGTGGCACATTTAGAACGACGTTCACTTTAAAGCGGAACAGCTCCGCTGCGTCATAAAAAAAAGAGAGAGAGAGAGAGAAAAGGAAAGAACAACGCTACGGCTGTACTTAGTAGTTTTTACTACTTTCGCAATTCATTTCGCAGAAAGTTGCGAAGTCGTTACGAAAAAGAGTTCGCCCCGGTAGGTAATACCGTAAAGCGAAAAAAGGAAGCACGTAACGACGCATTTAACACTTATAATAATCGTGACGGTAATCGAACGAATCATTTTTCGAACGTACAGCCCCTCGCCTCCCCCGTGTGCGAATACAAATATTCAGTGTATTGGATTACAAATGGAGGAAATATCAGACGGACTGAATATGTACCAATAAATCTGGAACGTTCATATCTATCTCGTCCGACATATGATACGTCGGCTTAAAATACGAGGCTCGCGCTACGATTTGCACGTATCTCCTCTTTTATCCCCCTGAGTATTAATGTCGCTCTTCTCTCCTTTTCCGCCTTATTCTCTTCTTTCCTTTTTTCTCTCTCTTCTTTTTTTTTCCTTTCGCTACATACGTGACAAATGCCCTCGCTTAATTTCGCCGTTTGCAAGAGAGATCTGGCATTGTCAGACGATGCGGCGTTACGACTTCAAACAGCTTAAGCGAGGATCGATATGACGCAACGAAAATAGAACTTAGCGCAAGGAGAGACATACCGGCACGATGCAGGATGCACTCGTGGATGTAATAAAGTCCGGTTGAAAAGTACGGTCCCTCCCCCGCGTGATAACCATCCCCCTCGGGATCGTAAAAGGCCGCATTTCACGGCCTGCCGAGAAATGTAAACTTGCGCATTATGAAAACGTCGCGTGTATTATGCAGGCGAGCCTCGAGGATCGGAATCTGCGACGTGTCTTTGTGCACGTGTACATAACGATTTCTTTTGGAACGCGACGATGCGCGCGAAAAAAAAGAAAAAATGAAGAGAACGAGCGACAATGAGAGAACTCAACGTCGCTCGTTATTTCAATGGCGTGTTCGACGCCACCTACGATCGATCGCGGCAAAAATGAGCGCGAAATTGATCGGTTCGTTTTTAACATCAGCTTTCATATCAGTGAAACCCTCAATTACGTACATATATAAATATTGTAAGGTGTACCGTGTAATTAAACCTGCAGTTGAGTTCATTTGCGATTCCGTGAACTAACTTTCATCCATGTTAAGAGCTCGGAAAAGCTCATTCTATGTTCCTTGTATACGAACACTTTTTTAAAAGTGCTGCGAGAGAGAAAGAGAACTCTACGTTTCATCTTTCCCTCGTTCCGTACGATGTTTTACGTTATTGTGTTAATCCAAACTCCGGTCAGCGTGGTGTTTGCGCGAGCAACTCGGATCGCTCTACGCCATCAGTGTTCGTAAACTTGATGGTAAATCTTCGGGGCATCGAATAATGCATAGAGGCCGCAGTTTTATACGGCATGCGAGTGCTCGTGAGCGAGTATCATTCATAAATATTACAACACACGTATGTACAATCTATCGTCGGCATTTTATCATCTGTAACTTTGACAGAAGGAATATTTGCGAGCGAATATATTCGTTTTTCGCAAGAAATACGCGAAATGCAGGGAGGGTAAAAGAGAGAGAGAGAGATAAAAAATTAATATCTCAGGCGATTCTCGAGATTTGGACCCTACCGAGGCGGATAGCTTTTAACATAATTCGTCTTGGCGTACGGTCGCATATTTGCGGCATTATGAACATGTCAGAAGAGCTGAATACTAATGCGCGAATCTTGGATTATGCTTTTGTCTTTCTTCGCGTCAACAAATTTTAAAAAACGATGGGAATGACGACTAAGGCGTAAGAATAGCCACGAGTTTCTTTCCTCGCAATGCAATGAATAAATTAGACGTATCACAGTATATCGTTGCTGCGACGTAATCGTTGCTAATGCATCCACTGTCGGGCATGTTTGGAAAAGTAACGTACAACATTAGTGCATATAAATTATTTCATTTTTGTTGCACGCAACGTGTCCATTTACTCTTCTTCGTCGCGCGATTTAAGAGGAGTTACATTAGTTCGTCCTATCTAATCATAAATTCCTAAAGACCTTCAACGGCGAAACTAACGATTGCTGCTCACGTTTCCGAGTCTTATCATCGTATCACAACGTGCTGCCGAATACAAAATCGAGTCTCTTTAGAATGTTCAACTTGTTGACCCACTTGAGAGATTTGCTTGTGTCGTCGTAGTTTCCGCGCTACAATTCACAATCGACACTCCATCAGATCTCTCATTCGATCACGCATCTCCATTCTAACAATCAGAATTGACAGCCACCTTCTATTGACATGCGAATTCCTCCATTTACCGCGAAGCTCAAAGAGAAACCTTGAAGCTTTGTTGTTCCAAATGAAACAAAACTACTGCGCGAAACAGGGTCAATGGCCAGTACGTAAATTTTATTGAAAAAAGATGTACGAAAATGCAGATATCAAGTGTTCTCAGAACGAACTTCTTTCTGAAATTCTTCGATTCCCATTTAAACTCCCATTAAAACTTGGCAACTGCCACGCTTGAAATTATTTATTTTATTTTCTATGCATGACTTTTATTTTTTTTATAGTTTACTATAATTATAATTTTTATAGTTTACTATAATTTACTATAATTTCGTATAATGTGATATGATTGAACATGCGATAAGATTTTGAAAGTCATGATTAGAAAATGAATTAAATCACATATCGAAAAAAATTGAAATACATTGAAAATTTTATTTTATTAAATTTTTTTTAGTACATTGAAAAAATCTTAAATTATCGCTCGGAAACGGTGATACTTTTATCAAGAAAAAAATTAATTCAAGATTGATCGAAAGATATCTGAAAGAAGATACGGAACATAAAAACATAACGTACGTTATTAGCCCGATAAGAATCGACTTTCAGCTGTGATTGCGAAACGCGACAAGAGCGAAGCTTTTCCGCCCCAAGAGGTCTTCTAGCGAGTTATGTTACATAAGAAATTGCGCAGTCACAGTCACGCCGCCAGGTAGATCGAATGGGAGGGTAACTACAGAAACTCACCTGAGCATGATGAAGTTGCCCACTCGCGTTCACATGTAACCACCGATGCCGCTTCCTTCTGCCGTCGTCATTCAGTTCGGGACGAGTCCCAGCGCGAAGGAGAAGAAACTGAAACCCGCGAGTCGAGTCGGAAGGTGGCTTGGCGAGACGCGATCACGAAGCGTTCACCCGCATTTCTCGATTCTCGCGAGCTTTTTTTACGCGAGCGCGCCGCGCCGCGCCGCGCCGCGCCGGTTGTTTCGGCGCGCGACGATGCGCCCGATCGTCGGGGGTTGTAACTTCTCGTTATCGGCGGACGAGAATGAGAGATGCGCGCGGAGCGGCGTTGGGGGTTGCCTCACTCTGCGAAGGGCCAACGAGCCGGCGCGCGGCGCAACTTACCCCACTCGCGGCTCGAAGCTGACTGAACGCACCCCCGAGCGAGAGGGTGCGGGTGGAGAATCTGCCGTGGGGCGCAGATCGGCGCCGACACCGCGAGACCGCGACCTGTCGCGGATGCGAGGTGCTCTTATCAGCATCGGGGGGTGCTTTCTTATCCCGACGTCGGTGGCGGCGTCGGTGGGGTGGAAGACATTTATCTAAATCTTACGTTTGGATCAGCTGTAAAACGAGCTGTAACGGGGAGCGAGAGCTCCCGCGTTTTCCACTTTCGAAGATTTACGATAAAGTTGAAATCTCTTACACGCGTAGTTCCGAACGGATCTGGATTTCTTTATTTTAACATCGAACTGGAGGATGTTAGACACGTTAGACGATTTCATCCGAAAGTGATACACAGGGAGATATCGAGGACGATATCTCCATTCCCGTCGAAGAACTTCTAATAAGAAATACGATCTTTAGTTCCATTATTTTTTAACATAAACATTATTTTCGATTTGGAGAATTGTACCGAATGTTTTCCATACTCACTTCAGACTAGAAAACACGTACTTCTCTTATTATAATGAAGAAATGTGCATAATGTTAAAATCGATAAGAATATCAATTACTAAATGCATTGCGTTATCATTGATATGCAAATCTCTCCGCATGAATAAACCAAGAGCGACGCGAGCTGCCGCTTTTGTAATTATTATGTATGGAGAAATGTCTCGACATTTCACAGGAACCTTACAGTTAGTTGTAAACGATTAACGATACCAATTACGTGCGGATTAATAATCACCTTGGTGTTGGACACGTTGCATGACATTTTCAGAAGTCTAATATTTCATAATATCCTAGTTCTGGGAAACAATTGGAATAACGCAACATTTTGCTGGCTCTGCGTTGCATTTGGCGTAGATTCAAAGACATAAATTAAACGCTCTTTCCGAAAAAACGCACCGACGCACCGAACGGCATCCCGATTTCTCCAAAAAGAATTATTCACTCTTCGTTCATGTCCGCAGCTCGGGGATTGCAAATTTTATTCCTTTGGCACGGAAAATCTCGCTTCGCGCGTGTTTACTTGCCAAAAGTTGAATCGAAGTCGAGGGGGCAAACAAACTGAGAGAAATGTTCAACTTTTACCCGAAAATTTTCGTCGAAAATTTCGTTCAAACTCGCAGACCGATCGATGCCACCTAAAGAGATTCTCACACAGGTCGGATTTGCGAACGCGAGCTCTCGAATCCATTTTTTTTATAGGCGGATTTATTTCGTGCGTGAGTCGCGTAATTTACAACGGGTCTCTAAGGAACTCCTCCACGACAAGTAGCGACGTGAGTTATTAAGCATCCTTTGCATTTGGAAAAACAGTCGTAGCCATGCGAACCGCGGGCTGCTCGGCGCGAAAATAGCATCACACGTAAATCCTCTTACGTCGCCTTAAGCTCGAGCCCTCCCCTCGAGCTTTCACGCTTCTAAAACAACCAAATAGTGTCACCCGGATGGCGAAAGCATGCCATCCGAGAACTTTCGCCCTCGCACTCGGATTCAATCTCATTACATGCCCTACTGCGGAGCACGGTGATATTACGCGTCTATATAGCGATATTACGCGTCTTTGTATATATCGCGTACAGCAGCAGCAAGCAGCAGCAGCAGCAGCAGCAGCAGCAGATGCGTCGTGACTGCATCTTGCCGAGTTTCCCCACGCGCTTTATGCACCCATATTTCTCCTGGCTGCAACTTGTCCGGGCTAAAAGAATTTTTTCGTTCCCGGTAATCGCATATTCCTTAGGTCGCTCTATACGCGTTCTACGAAACTCTCTCGCAGCGGCATTTTCAACGGAGCTTTCTACCGTGGGGTGGATTTGCGCATATTTTAAGCAAATCGGACGAGATCCTGTCGCGTAGTTCAGTGAAAACTTCATGTCGACAGTGTATCGCCTCCAGGGATCGCTTTGACATTAAAATATAGTAAAAATATAGTATATGAATTTGTCATCGCTCGTGTGGGTAGCCACTTTTATCACTGTCAAAGAAAAAAAAAATCCCTTTTAACTCTATTGAAATACGGATTTAAGCGGAAGTAAGCGTTGCGTCGCGTTCGATGCGTTCTGTGTATTGACGACTGTATCGACGATGAAATTGGAAATTTCGTCGGTACAGCCGGCACAATTTATGGACGAGCGCAACGAGCACGAAACAATGCGGACAAATTGACCCTGGTGAATGCCATTCTTCTTTTAAAATATGAGATATGCGCAGCTTTTACACGCACGTTACGTTTTTATTGACTCCCTCGGCACGATAATATTAACTCGGCTTCGAGGGAGGTGGTTGGAGGGGGAGGGAGAGGATGATATTTTGCGTATCTTGTTGTCGCGCGGCTGAATCAAGAAGGCGGATTTATGGTGCACGTGAAGCGTTTAATATCGCGGAATCCCAGGATCCTTCCTGTAATATGCTCCTTCGGAAGATAAAACCGGCTCGGGAATAGTCGATTTGTCTGGTACTCGGGATGAGATTAATAGCGACGCGACGGGGAAGAGGGGGTGCTCTCAGCTCTCCGAAACACAGCCGGGGAAAGAATGCTCTGTTCTCACGGTGTGACCTATAACATTCTGCGCGCCAAACGAACGTGATCTCATAACAAGAAAATTAAAAAATCAAGAAGTCCCCGCGAAACAAGGGAAAATATATATATGAAGAATCCTCGAAGAGGCTTCGAGAAAAGGAGATACGAGTGATTTAAAAAAGTGAGCTGAATAAAAAGTGAGCTTGAATGAAAAGTCAACAGTCAGGGATAGTAAAGATCACTTTATATCTTCTTTGTCATTTTATAATTAGTTGGCTCACTTTAAACTTATCTTCTTCGCCCTTAATTAGCGCGAGGATACTAATTTTAAATGGAAACCTATGGCGATAATCTCGCTTCCTCTCGTCGCTTTTATCAGCTCGTATCTTATCCGTTTTCATGATGCGATTTCACACCACGTCGGGAAGCGTGTGCCCCGAGACTTCCTTCCCGCTGCTTCACTCAGTCGGACTATCGTCCATGTTTATCGCCAAGATTAACCTTCAGACAGAACGTGCGGTTGCACTAATGCGGTGACGCTTTAAGGAGGCGATCTCTCCGTCTAAAAACTGCCTCGTCTCTTATCCACGCAATATAGGTTAAAGTGCATCATTTCCCAGGCGATGTAATTTTAAACGGTGTCTCGCCGAGCGGTCGATTCCACTCCTTCATCGATGCGTTCTCGATATGAAGGCTTTGAAGAGACTTTTTAGAATTTCACAAGTGTCGACTACACTTAATCACGTTTTTTAGCGTTACGTTAAAATCTGCGTTATTCTTTTAAAATTGAAATTTGCAAAAATTACAGTAACTTTTACAATACAAGATTTTATACGTTACGATCATTGTTTCATTCATATAGGCGTATCCAGAGAGGAGAGAGGAATTTCAAATTAAAAAAAAGTTGAAGTTACGATTTAGTTAATTGATTTAATTTTATTATTATTATTGAATTAATTTAGTGAAATGAAAAATCTAATATTTTTTTCATTAAAAATCAGGAACGAGGAGATATTTTAAGCTTCAAAATATCCAAAAGAGCAATTCATTAACGCAAAAAATTGCTGTTTGTACGTTAACAGAGTTGATTAAAAATCCTTTTAGAAAAAAATCTTGGATACGTCCATGGTTCCCTCGTTCCTGCAACAGTTTTCCTGATACAGTTTTTTAAATATCGAAACGATTTACTTCTTACATAAGATACTTTCGCAAACTCCACTCTTTTCTCAAATGAAGATAACTAAGATGACTTTATTCTTATTCTCATCCGGAGTAATTTATTTATCGTCGGATGTCTCTTAAAGATACGTATAAATTTCGGAGCTTTTCGATTCGAGACCCACTTACTTCAGCAACGTGATCACTTCGATATGTATGGTTCAATTACGCGACCAGGCGACACAATCGGGAATTCGTCCAAAATTAGGTTCGCCCACAGGGAGATCTATATTTAACGAGGATACGGAAGACGTGAGCGTGATGAAGATTCCGGCTCCGTTACGTGACGCTAATCAACAATGGCTCCATAAATGTCGATTAATGTTAATCAACCAACACCGATGACAACCTCGAGACAGGAACCACTTCCAATCGATGCGATGAATGGGCATACGAATCAATTCCTGTGGAAGTGCATTCGCGGATATTACATCGTAATCGCATTTTTATCCTCGTACACACGATCATTCGCGATCGTTTAAATATTTTTTTCTTTTTTTCTATTAAAGTAAAGTACGTTTCGTATGCCGCTGTATCGGAGGGTTGATTTTCGAATTGAATTAATCCAGTCCACTCACGTGTCGTATGAATACTTTATATTTTGTTATTTTATATGTGTCGCGCGCCACGCACGATACGTTCGTGCACGTTGACGGATCTAATGAGCGGCGCTTATTCAGGGCATGCAAACAGTCCGAGTGACTATCTACACACAAGTGACCTGATCTCGCGAGCTTAATGCCGCCTAATGATTACCTGGCTTCGCGCTAATTGAAGACGCCTACAGCTCCGCGGACTTTAATCGTTGCGCGTGGCTTAACGAGTTTACCTTCGATTATCCGAAGTAATCGACGCGGGATTGCTCTTCTCCCTCATTTATATTCGCAAATATATTTCTGGGGAAACTCGACTACGGCGTAGAGTTTACGCCATTAACGAATAAACGAACGCTATTAGCGCTCTAAACGAACTTTTCCATCGTGAGTGCAAAAACATCAACGATATTTTAGGAATATTTACATCGCGCGAAAAATGATTTCCTGAAATTACTGCTTTGGTCGTTTGCGTACGAGTACTTTTGTCGTCTCGTAAAGCGTGTAAAACAGTGGGACACGTGAAAAAACATGGACAAGATCGTTTTGTTTATTTAAACGCTCGCAGGTGATCCAGTCTGTCGCGTGACAATCGCGGTAGGGAAAAATATTCGATTTCTGATGGGCACTTT